ACAAATCCAATTCATTTTCCATTTATTACACTTGACGTCTCACTGGGCGTGCCAAAAATATATGTTAGCTTTTGGGCTTTCGAAGGTTATGAGACGGAGAAAGACGATTGAGTGAACAATCAAAGTAATCATTACTTACCTCTACTCCTATGCTTCGAAAAGAAAGTGCATAAAATGCTTCGAAATGGAAATGCTGAAAATAAATATTTCGAAATATAAATCTATGTTAAACTACTCCTAAGATAAGTAAAATGACAAGAAATATTGAAATCAATTGTCTTTGATTTAAGTTCTGGATCCATTACAATGTAGCCATTAATGGCTATTTATAGAGGAAAAAATACAGCAATAACTACTTAGTAACTACCCATTTCTTCCACCTTCATTCTTGTCTTGCCATGTGTCCTTCCACTCATCCACTTTGTCCTTCATATTCTCCATCATCTCTATAACTTCTTTTAACGTCCAAATGAATAAGAGGATGTCATGTGTCCTGCAATTATATAATAATAAAATTGCAGATTTATGGTGCTAACATTACCCCCTGCGGCCCTTAAAAATGATGTTTACTTGAATTTTTGAAGGGCTGAACCAAGCACATGACTAACCTAAGCAGCAAAGTGTTTCGAATGATGTAACAACACCAATAAAGTGCTTCGAATGAATGAAATTATGACTAGATGACTCGAATTATGACTAGTAACAAGCTTCGAAAGTGGTATAAAGGACCAAAATCATTCTTCGAAGGTTGATGGAGCCGACAAAAGACGAATTACATCCTCAAAAATACTCGGCAAAGCTTCGAAGGTTCATAACCACCATTATTATTTCTTCGAAGCTGTTGTTGATGCAAGATAGAGTGCTTCGAAGCTTACAAAATTATGGCAAAACGGTTTTCGAAGCAACTTATGACAAAACGGCTTTCGAAGCTGTTTTTGGCCAACATTGTGGTTATTCAAATCTTATATGTTCTGGTTCACACATAATTAATGAAAATATTAATTTTGTGCTTCGAACCAATTATTAATTCTTTGAAAACACCAAAACCGTTGTTCTTCAAACCAATTTTTGTAGAATACTAGTTACATTTTCATGTAACAAATGGCTATAAAAATGTTTATCAGTAAAGCCACTAATTATCATGCCAAAAATAGGCATTATTTGACAATTAATTAATTGCCATTTTACATATATTTGAAGAGAGGCACATATTTCAAAAGCTTTCTCTTCTTATGTTGCATTTCGAAAATGTTTATTGATGACAAAACTACCATTCGAAAGTCACATATATTACTAAAGGATCAAAGTCGTCCTTCGAAAGTGCTCATGACATCTCTTCGAACTAAATCCAAAGAGTTGGATTATAAGTTTGACATTTTAACCAGCCATTAATGGCTATAAAATGATATTTCGATGAATAGCATGCTTCGAAGTGTCTTAGGACATGCTTCGAAGGT